CCCCAACGCCCCAGCCCCTCTCGTGACCTGGCTCCCCCATGACTTTATGGTGACAGGTCGGAAGAGCCGTCTCCCCAATGGCTAAGGGAGCTGAAATCCAAGAAGAGGCAGAGCCTGTGTGAGAACCAAGCCTGACCAGGTGGGCCGGGCACTGCCGGATCCTGGAAAAAGGCGGAGGGGCGGAGGTGGAGGGGAGGCTGCATCTGGAACGAGGCAGTGATCTATTCATGTACAAATGGTGTAACTGAAATTAAATTTAAAAAAAAATGTAACCAGACAAGCAAGGATGGCCCGTGACCCAAATCTTTAGCCTCTCAGGAGAGTGTGATACAGAGGATCGCAGTCCAAAGCCAGCCAAGGCAGAAAAGTCTGTGAGACTCTCATCTCCAATTTACCAGCAAAAATGTGGGCTGGAGATATGGCTGGAGTGGTTGAGCACTGAGAGCCAAGGGGGTGGGGGACATGGAGCCCTGAGTTCAGGATCTGGTGCCAGCGTGCACAGTGTGCAGCAGTGTTGTGAACAGCAATCCTTTCTGGGGTGCAGGGCTCATCCCAGGCCAATCAGCAAACCCCTCACCTCAGCCGTGGCTCATTTCTTTGTGGCAGTTTTGAAATCCAGAATTCACTGTTACCCCCACAATCCATTTCAGGAAAATTAACCTCAAGTTCTTGTAATGAAATCAGACTTCCCCTGTTTCCCATCCTCCCTCCCAGCCCAGATCTCCTCCTAACTTGAGATTTGTAAGGGATGCATTCTTGGGATTTTTTTGGGGGGGGTCCGGTCATGGGGCCTGAACTCTGGGCCTGGGCGCTGTCCCTCAGCTCTTCAGCTCAAGGCTAATGCTCTACCACTTGAGCCACAGCGCCACTTCCGGCTTTTTTCTTTTTGCTTATGTGGTGCTGAGGAATTGAACCCAGGGCCTCAGGCATGCAGGGCAGCCCAGGAATGCATTCTTGGGGAGGAAGAATCTGAAACAAGCAACAACTAAAAAACAACAACAACAACAAAAGATCCACATGAATTTTTTTCCCTTTTGTGCCAGTACTGGAGCTTGAACTCAGGGCCTCTTGCTCTCACTTGGCTTTTTCACCCAAGGCCACTTGAGCCACTTCCAGCTTTTTGTTGATTCATTGGAGATAAAAGTCTCTTGAAGCCAATCAACAGTGGCTCACGCCTGTAATCCTAGCTACTCAGGAGGCTGAGATCTGAGGATCACGGTTCAAAGCCAGCCTGGGCAGGAAAGTCTCTGAGCCTCTTATCTCCAATAAGAAAACCAGAAGTGGCTGTGGCTCAAGTGGTAGAGCATTAGCCTTGAGCTGAAGAGCTGAGGGACAGCACCCAGGCCCAGAGTTCAAGCCCTAAGGCCAAAAAAAAGTCTCTTGGATTTATTTCTCAAAGCTACCTTCCAGCCACAGTCCTCAGATCTCAGCCTCCTGAGTAGCTAGGATCACCTGCGTGAGGGACCACCAGCACCTGGTCTAGTTATTTTGATGACGGTGCTGGGGATGGGAAGCCAGCGCCTGCACGCTGAGCATGCCCCCAAATGACATCACGCACCCAGGCCCTGGCCAAGGCCAGAGGCCTAGTGATGGAGAGAAATGGGGGAGCGGGAAATGCTCCGTCTGCTGAACCCAGATTGCTCTTTCTACTCCAGGTGTGGGACACTGCCAACCTAATCAACAGAAGCCTTAACTGTGACCATCAGACCCCTCGGAGGAGGCCACAGCCACGTTCCTCCCTGCTCCAAACGTCATGTGCCTGGGCCCTTCCGTGGTCTGCAGACCACCTCACACAGGAAGGCCCGCCCTCCGCAGTCCCCTGCCGGGCCCTGCAGACAGCACTTGTGGCAGGGCGGTGCACGTGCGTCATCCTGGCCGCTCAGGAGACCCAAGCGGGGCTGGATCTCAGGTTCAGTGCCAGCCAGACCTGGGCCTACCTACGGAGACCCTATCTCAAAAAGACGAGTTTGCATCTCTACCTTGTTTCGACGCCTTCCGTGGACACCGGGCCGTCGCCCGGGGCTGGACCCGCCCCTGCGTTCCTCTGAAGACACCTGCTCCTCCCCGGCAGGGCTCTCTGGAAGACATTGCTAAGGGGGCTCCAACTGTGTCCGTCCTGCGGGGGTCTCGGCCCAGGACACTGCCATGGGACTTTTGATTGATTTTTTTTAAGTCTCTTTTCAGCATCTGAAATGGATTTTCCTTTCCAGCAGGCGGGGCGCTGCGGGTACCCTGCTTGTTGGCTTTTGGAGGCGATGAAGCAATAATTCAGCCAATCCTCTTTGAAACTTGACAATGGACACTCGCTAGATTAGACGATGACGGGGAGACGGCAGTTCGCGTCCTGGGTTTCGCAGTGTCCGCTTGAGGTTATCTTACTCTTCTCTGAGCTGCCGAAAAGTCGTAACTGTCCCCCAGGCTTTTTGCACGGGGGGCTCTGATTTCTGGGCGGAGACCTTTGTCCCTCAACATCTCGGTTCACAAATGGCAGCCACATTACAACTCCATCATCTTATTCGAAGCCCTTTTTGGGGGGAGCGAAGGGTTCCCCAGACCAGAGACTCTAAGCAGAGGTACCAGAGGAGAGGGGAAGGGATGTGAGGCTCAGCTCGCCTCCTTTCTTGTTTGTCTGTTCTTGCTGACGGTAAGCTCTGAGGAGTGGCTAATACCTCTGGGGACTCCAGACACCTCTACTCTGTCCTTCCTTTTGGGGACTCATAAGCACCAGCCTCCTGTACCCCCAAACCCAGGTCCGTAAAGACGTCTCACCTATTCCTGCCCGGCCTGGGGTTGCTATCTGCCGGGTGCCAACCTTGCCCAGGAGACACAACCCGGGGAGGCCCTGGGGTGGCCTCAGGCTGGGCATCCTGATGGACCTGTGCATGGTGCTCATTAGAGCCCTCCACAGGGTCTCCCCCGCCCCGCCCCCACCCCTCCCGACTTCCCGAGACATGGAGCCTGCCTTGGTCATTGCGCTACAACAAGCGTCAAAACTCACCCTCTTTCCCCCTGCCCACCTCCCCACGTCTCCATTTCCCACTCTGTCATCTCTCTTTTCTTGCTTTTCTCCCGCTCAGGTGGGGTGGACAGGGATAGCAAATCCTGATTTCCTCCAGGCTCAGCAAACACCTGTGTGTAGCACCACGGACAGCGGTGCCAGGCATGCAGGTGTGCACGCATGCACACGCACGTGTGCGCACACACACACACATACACACACCCCTGCTGCCCCTAAAAGCCCCATCACCTACCCAGCCTCGCTGCCCCAGCTCAGTGCCAGCTTGCATTTCCTTCCTTTCCTAAATTCAGGGCCAGTCGGTTCCCTGTAGCCGTTAGGGGAATGGGATTCCACAGCAACGCTTGCTTTGTGTATCTGCTTTGAAGACCCATTCTGTGCTTGCTCTTCAATGGATTTTGGCAGAGTGGCTTTCTGAGCACATGGCTGGTGTTTGACTCCCACACCCTCTCCTTCCCCCGGGGGTATGAGATTGTCCTGTGTGCCCTGCAGGATGCTTCGTGTCCAAGGAGCTGTGTCTTTGTCCCAGTGAGGAAGACACCCACTCGGAAGTGAGCTGGGCCTCGGGCATCCTTGCACGGCTCGGCTGGCGGCAGACATGTTTGATTCCAGGTGGATTGGTTGTATCCATCGCCTGGAACCCAGCCAGGGTCTTTGTGACCTCTGAGGCCCTCTGTGGCTCTTCCTCCCACAATTCAGGGTGCTGGTGACCCCTGAGGGGCCCTGCGAAGACCCAGGCGCACAGATGAGCGGGCTGGGCGAGCTCCCCGGGGCTGAGCCTCTGGCTGCATGCAGGCTCATTGTCCTCCCTTTGCTTTTGGAACTGTGTCTCCCCTTAATATGCCTTGCGTAACATGCCTTAATCAAACCTACCCCCACCTCCCCCCCCCCCCCCCCCGTGTCCTCAGAGGAGAGAGCCTGGTGCAGAATGCAGACTGGCGGGCAGCCTCCTCCCACAGGCCCCTCCCCTCCTCTGCTCCCTAGCCCCTCCCCTGCCCCTCCCCCTGCCCCTCTCCCTGCCCCTCCCTGCTAGGACAGCTGCTGCCCTTTGCATACGTCTGTATCTTCTCCCTGCTGCCTTTACCATCTCTGGCTGAGAGGCATGGTGGGTGGGTGTGGGGGGGGATCCCTTTGGCAAGTGAACCCCCGGAGCTTGTGGGAGGGAAGCTCAGGGTCCTGGGAGGATGGGGGTGGGTGAGGTGCTAATGTGACAGCTGGGGTGTGTGTGGGGGGGCAGGCCAAGAGCATCCCCAGGGGAGCCAACCACACCTTCCGATGGCACCCAGGTGCATTTCCTTCCGCGTGTCTGGGAAGTGAGGCCCACGGCAGGAAGCCACAAGGAAGAACGGAGCAGGCCTGAGCCGCGGCCTGGGCCAGGGCAGACTCTTCTATCCCGGGCCCCCATCGCCACCGTCTCCACCTGTGCTTTTGAACTCTTTCACCCCGAAGCCCCCCCTCCCCCAGACGGTACCCCCAGAGTGCCTGAAAGCCCGAGGACCCCCTCCCCTCAGTGCCTTTCAGCTACGGGGGCCGGGATGGGCCCCTGGGCCTGGAGGCCTCCCCCCCTCTGACCCTGACAATCACTGGTGACATCCTGTCACCTACAAATCAGGCCTGCGGCCTGAGGAGAACTTGTGATGTGGACCCGTGTCCCACACCACCGCCTTATGCAGGAGGGGCTCACGGGACCGCCGTGGGCCGTGCCACTGGACAAGATGCTTCTGTGTCGTTTCCTAACTCACGCCACAGCCCTGGGGGCCCAGCGCGTCCCCAGTGGCCGCGGGCCCCACGCTTTGTGAAGCAGGATGGGGGAGGGGGCGAGCCATACATACAGTCTATATTTTCCTAATCGTTTCTTCTGGCACCAAAAGACTACACACGCCATGACCCCAAGCTCCTGGCTCCAGGATCACGGACGGAAGGCAAAGCCACAGGCACTTTACCCGCAGCCTGCCTGCACCACTGACGATTCCCCCTAGGAAAACAGAACAAAACTTTATATTTTTAATGGGAAAAAAAAATAATAAAACCACAGTGTGGCTTCTTGGAGCTCCCAGAGTACTACTGATTGTGCAAGAGATTGTTGTTTTCTGGTTTTGGTTTTTCTTTCTTTCTCTATAAAGAAGTTTCTTTGTGGATTGGATGAGCAGCCGGAAATCCGGCTGGCGGTGTCCATGTGATGATGAGCCCCGTGTGTTTGGACGCTGTGATCCGACTCTGAAAATTGCAAATAAAGCTTTGTTACATGTTTATGTTGGACAAAGCCGGTCTGTGCCTGGGCGTGCCGGGCTGGGCAGTAGGGGGGGGAGGGGGAGGGCAGGAATCAAGCTTGGCTGGCACCTGGTTCTGGGGTGGACATCTCAGAATGGAGCCCTACCAAGGCCTGACTTCCAGACTGCATCAGGTGTCGGCATCCCCTCCCCCCTCGGGGTGGGCTGTGCCCTCAGAGATCCAGGCAAGGGCAGAGGCATAATTACCGCAGCATGCCGGGAGACGCCAGGGTGTACTGGGAAGCCCCGTCTCCCACCCCCCATGCTCACCCCGAAAAGTGCTTTGCTTAGGTTGCAGATTGGCTCCTACCGACGCTCACAAATGTACCAACAAACACAGCTGGGTGTCGGTGGCTCACACCCGGTACCCCAGCTACTTAGAAGGCTGAGATCTGAGGAGCGCAGTTCAAAGCCAGCCTGAGCAGAAAAGTCCCCGTGAAACTCATCTCCAGTTATCCACTCAAAAACTGGAAGTGGTGCTGTGGCTCAAGTGGTAGAGCGCTAGCCTTGAGCACAAAGAGGCTCAGGGACAGCGCCCAGGCCCTGAGTTCAAGCCCCCAACTGGGTTGGGTGGGGGGGGGGGGGGAAAAAACCAGCAATGGGTCCTGGGGTCCTCTGGGGACCCAACAGTGGTCACTGCCGCTTCCATCTCCCGAAGTGTCCACCAGATGGCAGCAGGAGCCTGGCCTTGCACCGTCGCAGGTGGCTGGGGCCTGGGGCCTGGGGCCCTGCCCTGAGGTTCCATCCACATTCATGGAGCCCCAGGACCTTGAACCCGGTGCTCTGAAACCAGGCAAATACATAGTTTTTCTCCATCTAGTTGTTTCTGTCAGGTGTCCATCAAAGCTGTGCAGAAGGAATCCAGGCACTCGCTGATGGACAAAGGGGTTGGGGGGTCAAATGTCAGTCCAGAGCACACAAAACCTACAAAAGGAAACCCAGTTCATTTAACCCATTCACAACTTTCTTCCTCCCTGAGTGAATAATCACTCATTAAGTGCCTGTTGCAGGCCAGGTGCTGATGGCTCACACCTGTCAGCTCCACTCCTTGGGAGGCTGAGATCTGAGGACTGAGGTTGGAAGCCAGCCTGGGCAGCAAAGACCGAGACTGTTGTCTCCAATTAGTCGCCAAAAAGCCAGAATGGAATGGTGGCTCAAGTGGTAGAGCACCAGCCTTGAGCAAAATGTCTGAAAGTTCCCAGGACCAGCACACACATGCACATGCACATGCGTGTGCACACACACACACATACGCACGCACACACATCACCTGTTGTAGGCAAAGTTACACTTGATTGGATAAGTTGTTCAGGCTGAGCATTATAGTTCCCTATGTAGAGGGGCGAGCCTAAGGCCCTGTGGCAGATTCCCTCCCCGCCTCCTGTCTGCCCAGTGTCCTTAGAGTGTGAAGACCACTCTGCCTCTCTAATAGCCTCAGACGGCGTGAGCAAGGCCAGCCCGGCACCCTGCATGTAGTAGGGCTCTGGGAAATGCTTGCTGTTGTCTGCCCGCGTGGCCGGTGTGAAGAAGGCTCTGTGACAGCCTCGTGTAGAGGCGGATGCACCCCCAATTTGGATGATGAGTTTGGGGAGACCTGACTTGAGATGTGAGCCATGGAACATGTGGGCGACGGGGGGGATCTGGGGTCCCCTTTATTTCAGAACTCCTTTCTAGGGGGGGTCAGGTATCCTAGGAGCACTGAGAATGCAAAGGGAGAAGGCTCGGGGGAGCAGGAAAGCTGTGTACCCCAGACCCCTGCCCCCAGGAAGCGCTCAGAGGCCCTGCAGAGGAGACAGGCGCGGGGGGCCGCCCGGGGCTTGCTATTGGGGTGCAGTGGCCCGGGAGGAATGGGGCGGACAGGACGCTGGCTCAGCAGGCCCCGATGTGCTGGGCTGTCAGGATGCAGCCATAAATAGCTGGGTGCTGGAGGCCGCCCAGCGTGAGCCGCCCCTCTGCCGGTCCTTCCTGAGCTCCAGCGGCAGGTGCATTCGGGGACAGGGGTGGGAACTGGACCCGGGCCCAGACCGGGCATCACTCGTGGGTGGGGCCGACAGAGGGGGCCTAAGACGGGGAAGGGGGGATCGCCTGTATGTCAGAGGGTGGGGGCTGGGGTCTGAACCCCGGGCACAGGCTGGGAAGGGGGGTGGTTCAAAGACTGAGCAGCCGAGGAAGGGAAATGAGGCGTGGATGTGGCTGCCCCATGTTTGTGTGTGTGTGTAGGAGACAGACAGACAGACAGACAGAGAGGCCTTGGGTGGGATGTGTGTGTGTGCATGCATGTGTATGTGCAGGGATGTGTGTTTGCACGTATGCGTGCACAGGCGTGTGCACACTCACCCCGCCAGGCCTCTCACATGGGACCCGCAGGGGCCTGGGCCACGTGTCGCCGCCTGTCTGGCGGTGGCCTGTGCACAGCAAACACGCCAGAATTGCTCCTGGAACAAGTCTCAGGCCGCGCGGCCGAGGGTGTCCGCGTCCCGGTCCCCTCCCCAGGCTGAGGGCCCTGGCCCAGCACTGGCACGGCAGGGGGAGGGAAGCCCCCACCTCCAGGCCCCAGCTCTGATCCCTTCCTTCCTCGCGGTGGGCCTCACGTGGTGGGGCTTCCGGGTTCCCCTCTAGAAAATGGGGTCCCTGCTCCCACCATTCAGCCTCGTCTGCAGGCCCCCCCCCAGCAGGGGCTCCACGGGTGTTTGTTGAATGACTGAGTGGTTGAGTGTTGATCATGGTGACCGCAGCGGAAGTCCTTTCTTGGCCCGTTGAGTTCCGGTGCCTCACCCACGGGGCCCCGTGTCCCCGCACCTTCCCCTTTACCTTGAAGGCCGAGAGTTTCTGGGGAGATGGCGGAGCAGCAGCACGGTGCCCAGGAGCAAGCAGCGGCCGGCAAGAGCCACGGAGGCCTGGGGGGCAGCTACAAGGTAACGCCTTCCGCCATCCATCGGGGAGGGGAGCGTGCCCGGCCTCGGGGCCCACTTCCGGCCAGCCCTCCCTCCCAGCCCTGGCGGGGGGGGGTGAGGAGGGAGCGTGTCACACACGCCCTACCCGCCCCTTGGGGGGGACAGAGTCACCGGGTTCCAGGAGATGTGGCTTTGAGCTCCGTCTCTCCTGTGTGACATGGGCCTAGTTCCTCACCCTCTCTGAGTTTCCTTTAGTGGCTTGGCCATCTCCGGGGCCTTTGGTGAGACCATCCGTGCGGGGGTGTATGTGAGGGTGTGGGGGTGAAGGAACGAGACGGAGCCAGAAGAGGCCATCGTAGAGAGCCTGGTGCCTGCTCTTCCTGTGATGCTGAGCCGGCCCAGGGTCTCCGAGGGTGGCAGAGCCCTTGAAGAGCTTGCACACTCAGAGCTGCTTGTCTGGGGGATGTGGGGGGGGGAGGCTGCGCTCCCCTGGGCCCCTCCCCACTCTTTGCCTTTCCCTCCCTGTCCAGGCCGCCCCACCTGGCATATTTCCAGTCTGTGGATGGCTGCCTGCCTGGAGCCCCGCGGCCACCAGGGGGCGTGGTGGGGCGGGGTGGGGGGGCGGCGGTGGGGTGACCCCCAGCTCTCCCCCCTCCAGGTGACCCTGTACGAGCTGGAGAACTTCCAGGGCAGGCGGTGTGAGCTGTCGGCCGAGTGTGCCAACCTCACGGACGGCCTGCTGGACAAGGTGGCCTCCATCCAAGTGGAGTCGGGCCCGTGAGTGCCCGCGGAGTCCCCTCCCTGCCTCAGTCTCCCCCTGCGAGAAAGGAGGGCACGGAACCACCACCGGCGGTCTCTCCGTGTCTGTGGGGCGTGCGGGCCCGGCGGGAGGCAGCCAGCTCCCGGCCCCACACGGACGCCGCACGGCCAGCCCCCGGCTGGGTGTGATGTTACACGCTCCTGCACCTGCGTGTCAGCAGATGCCTGGCCAGGGGTGGGGGGGTGGGGGGGACCCCAGGCCGCAGCTCAGCCGGGGCGCCCGGGGCTCACGTCGGTCATCCCAGCTACTCAGGAGTCTGAGAAGTGAGGATCATGGTTCGCAGCCAGCTCAGGCAGAGTCCATGAGTCACGAGACTCTTCTGTTGTTTTTATTTTGTATTTTGTTTTTGGGTCCAGTCCTGGGGCCTGAACTCTGGGCCTGGGCGCTGTCCCTCAGCTCTTCAGCTCAAGGC